AAAAAAAAAAAAAGAAAAACTCTGCTGGAACCATCACATTTACCAAAGGTAGCTCTAGGTATGTAAAATTATTCTCTATTGTCTGCATATGAATGGCAAATTTCCGCTTCTGAACTGGGGCAGTGATCAGACCAAGATTTAATGACACAACATGCCAAGTAGCTTCTCTATTCTCTGAAGTACCAAGGAGAGCTTCAAACTTAACATTATGTTAAGAGTTCATACTTCAGTTAGAAATCTTTTGATAAAGTGAAAAACCACCCTCTTTTGCATAAACATTGCGTTACAAAATTTGCCCAAAGAGAAGTGTACCTATGCATTATACGGTTTAAAAAAATTTTTGTTTTTTTCACAAGGATCCTGAGATTATGCAGTCAAAAGATTTAACAGGCAATTCTACAAATAAACTATTTATTACCGTCTTCCTTTATCCATCTGCCACTCACATCTCATTCCAACAACATTCAAAATCTTAAACAACCTCTCCCAAGGGTCCACGATCTGGGATGATTTTTCAGTCAGTCCTTCTATTACGTACTTCTGAGAGCTACGTTTGCTAGGCGACATTAAATCAGATGTATCTTGGGCACCTGAGATGTGAGAAAAAAGTAGCCTACAATTAACATTACTAGTTACTATTTACATGGTACTTGACAGAGAGAGAAAAGTCTGACTCCCCATTCAAAAGAAAAGAGTACAGAATCCCAACACCTTATGTATATGTTTTGCTCAAGGACACACAACTGGCCTTCGGTATAAGCAGGAGGTGATTTTGAGTAGTGGTACATGTATGAAGTTCAGTGTACTAATGCTGCAAGTCAGCACGTAGACTGTTTTGATCTAGGGGTGGAACTGGTTCCAGAAAAGTCTCATCTCTTAACTACAGTATTTTTTCTAAACACCATCTTTTAAAAACACTATCAAACTGGTATACATCTAGAGGAGAATAATCAAAATGATGAGGGATTTCTGAATTTGCAATTTTGCTAAAGCCAGTCTCAATAAAATGACAGGATATTACCACTTACCCTGATGCTGATTTTCTGTCTGAGTAGACCTAGTGACGTAACTGATATAAAATTCAGCTGCTTTGTTCAAATATTTATACAATAAATTGGCAGGTAACCGAACATCATGGTTGTTAATTATTAGAGGAAGGACATCACAAACTGTTGAGGAGAAAAATAAGAAAAAACTGATTAGGTTGTTTACCCTAGGATTCTGGCATAAAAGAAATTTATTTCAGAGTTAGTTTAATGTAGTACCTAAAATATATAGGGGGGTAAATCCCTTATGGCACATTTATTTAAAAATTGCCACGCAGGGCTGGCCAGTTAAGTCAGCTGGTTAGAGCGGTGTTATAGCACCAAGGTCAAGGGTTTGGAACTCTGTACTGGCCAGCAGCAAAAAAAAAAAAAAAAAAATTTTTGCCGTGCAGAGGGACACCAGTGGGTGGAGTCAGTGAGGAAACACACAGGCAGATTCTACATTAGAGCTAGGAGTCTGGTTCTTACACTGGGTGGTACATTCAGATGCTTGTTTATTATTATGTTTCATAATTACATATATGGTTACACATATTCTTTAAGAGGTATCAAATAGTGCATAACAAAAGTTTAGAAGTTGTTTAAAACACTTTGTGGATTGAAAAAATAAGCAAGGATTTAAATTCCATTAACATGAAGAGCTCCTTTGATTTCCACAAATGACTTTATCCCTGAAATGATACTTAGCCCAGCATATTCTACTTGCCATAAGGAACTAATATAAAATACAAGTTTTCTTACCAAATAATTTTCTAAAGCAGTTAACAGGAGATTCTTGCTCTTCAATAGTTTCAGCCTCTAACAGTGCCTCCCCAAGGCCAACCTGTTTCAAGATAACATTAGTCATTTAAATGTGTTACAGTTTAAGATGTCGGAATTACATGAAGAAACAGGGTAATTTTTTTATTTATCAAACAGTTTATATATTTGAACTTCCCTGAGAAACAAACAATCCCATTTTAAAGACCAGAAAACAAGAGAACCCAGCAGCAACAGCCCAGAAGGTCCCATTCACCTACCCCCTGAGCACTCTGTCTTGGTTATTCTCCTCCAAACTAGCAAAATTAAAGCACTAACAAAACATCTACAGAAACTTAAGGGAAGCACTGGATCTGGAGTTAGAACAACATAGATGTGGAAATTTTCTAAAAAATGTGGAAACTACTTTATTCTCTACATCAGGTGTATTATACAGACAAAACTTATCATTTCCAAAAGTTCTCGGGAATAGCCAGTCATACAGTGAGGGCTATACTGGACAGAAATGTTTCAGTTTTAAGGCCGCCTTTCCATTACTGACACCCAAACATAGCAGAAAGTCCCTTATCAACATCCACCAAGATGTTCGTATTATCTTTCTTACCACCACCAGGATGCTCTACGGTAGGAGGGGAACAATGAGAAAGATCACATAACACAGAAGGTTAAAAATCAGAGTAATGATCAGGGAGTGTCCTCCCCAATTCATATCCATCCAGAACCTCAGAATGTGACCTTCTGTATATTTTACCTTAAAAAACTCCCCCAAAAAACAAATAGTATCTTTGTAGATGTACTTAGTTAAGACGAGGTTATATGGATTAGGGTGGGTCCTAAATTCAATGACTGGTATCCTTTTAGGAAAGCCATGTAAAGACACAGACACGGACACACAGGGAAGAAGACCCTGTGATGATGGAGGCAGAAACTGGAGTGATGCAGCTGCCACCAAGGAATGACGAAGATTGCTGACAACCACCAGAAGCTAGAGGTGGAGGTAGGAAGCATCCTTCCCCAGAGGCTTTAGAGGGAAAGTGGCCCTGCAGGCACCTTGCATTTGGACTTCTAGCTTCCAGAATTGAGAAAATTTCTGTTGTATAAACCACCAGTTTCTGGCACTTTGTTACAGCAGCCCTAGGAACCTAATACAAGGAGGCATAGCAACAGTTAACCAGGGCCAGAAGCCAGAAAAATGGCATAGGAAAGAATAAACAATTGGGTTTAAATAAAAAGAAGCAACAATTTGAATCCTGACAACTTACTGGCTATGGGATATTACTAAAACATTTAAGATTCAGTTTCCTCATCTGTAAAGTGGAATAATATTTAATTCAGGGGATTCAGGAAAATAGAAGGAGATACCTAGCACTTACCAATGCCTGCCAGTAGCATTCGATAATTATTACAGATGTAGAAAAGTGGCAGGAACAGAGGAAAACAGACTCCACAGGGCAGAAATATGCGAAAAACATATCTGTTAAGACTATAAACTATGGCTTTCAATTAAATTCAAACACATTGTTGAATACATCAAAAAAGATGATGTTTTACTGTACAGATTACATGTGAATAGTACTGGCAAAGCTTGCTGATGGTTTCCTTACACTAATAAGACAACTTCTACTGGAAATTTCTAATTTGGTAACAGTGATGTTCTTTTAGCTTTATTGAAAAAGAATCCTTGATTTAAGTTCAATCTTATCCAGTGCTCCTTGGAATCTCTGCTTTAGTATCATATAATACATACTACAGCTCCTAACTGTACTGATGAATATGTTGATGATCAATTTTATTTTCTTGTAAGAAAAGAATCAGATCTTACCCCATGTTGCACCACGGTTTCAGGGAAGCGCCTCAAAAGTAAAAGCAACATTTCTGACCGTTCCAGTGTGTTGAAGCACTGTTCTGTGACCTTCAGTAACATTTCGCACTGGACCCGACCAGGAAGAGTTTCAAATAAACCTGCACACAACACATTTTACTTTTAAAAGTTTTTTCAGAAAGAAAATACTGAAGCAAAAGTGTTAAGTAAGGCATGTTCACGTACAGATTGGTAAATAGTACATGAAGAATCACTGTGGGCAGGTTTCACCTACAACCTGGAAGTCTCTTGGGTCCAATGGTATTTAATTCGGCAGACAATATGTCTGCTGAATAATTATAAGACATTTGGAGGCCTTATTGAATCCTGAAGACAAGAATAATGTATGTAAACAGTCACAACTGTGTGCTTGCTTCAGGTTGAAATAAAGAGCATGTGCTTGTTTAAGTTGAAATGACCTAAACCATCTACTTTCTTTTTTATCCAGAATTTTAAATCTTTGGTTGGCTACTGCAACCAACACAAGTTTAAAGAGAAAAGTCATAAATTACTAAAAGTTTCTCTCCTGTTTTGTGGTGATCTGGTTAATCTATGGATGCTTTTTGGTTCCTGCAAAACCTGTTGAAAATATATTCAATTCCCTGGTCTCACTAGTACATCCATATCCTTTAAGGAAGTTTAAAGGGTTTTAAGCAAATGCTCAAGAGACAGAGTGACATTATTACATACTTTACTTGCTGAGATTAAAACATAAAAATGGGTACTAATACCACAGGTTTGACTTTTTTGTGAAATTACTATATACAGTTTACCATAAATTACCATAAACAGTAATTTATACAACACAAACTTATTATTCCATTCTTACTTCTTAGAAACTGTGTTTGTTTATCCTGTGAATCATTCCTTAATGCTGATGTAATAATGCTGATTTCTCTCCACACCACCGGCTGATCTGGGAAACTCACAAACCTATTTTTAAAATAAATGCATTAAATAAAATGCCAGATTCTATACAGTATCTGAAGAAGAAAATAAGAACACTAGCATTTGGAGAAAAACATTTTCCTTTATTCCAAGTGCATGCTTAGATGTGCCAAAACAAAGCAAAATAAAGATACAAAAATGAAAACCAGTTTAGAAAAATGAGAGTACTCACAAAAGTCTTTAGAGGTTTTTATAAGTGAAAAGACAAGGAACCATAATATATAATGAACTTCTAAATATCAACAAGAATAAAACAAACTATCTAAAAGACAAGTGGGCAAAGGCAAATCACAGAACACAGTACAAACAGCCAAAGAACTGTTGAAATGATGATACTCAACCTTGTTAGTACAAGTAGCACAAATTAGGAAAAAACAGCAAGATATCATCTTCTATCACGCCGGCAAAAATTAAAAACAGACTAATTATATCCAGTGTCGGCAAGGGTGTAGAAAAACTGGCACTCTTATACACTATATTAGTGGAAATGGAAATTGGGATAGTACTTTTTAGAGAGTGATATGACAGTGTATCAGAATTTAAGATGTGCTTACCCTTTGACTATGGAAATATATGTCTTAGAATCGATTCCACAAAAAAACACCAAACGATGGGTATGAAATTGTTTACTGACACTAGGAACATAATTTCAAATAATTAGAAACTATCTAAATGTCCACCAAGAAGAGTGGTTATGAAATGCTGTCTAGGCATAAAAAAGATCCCTCAATACTGACATGGAAAGGGGTCCATTACAGTGGGTGAAGAAGATAAGTCGCAGAATAAGAACAATATGGTCTCACTTCTGTAACTCCCCCCCCCCAAAAAAAACCTACTTATACGTATTATGTCCATGCGCATAGACATACACACAAAAGTTAACTCTGATTGAGTTTAGGAGGAACTTTCTCTTTTTCATCTCCATAACTTAAGCATTGTTTGAACTTTTGCGATGAGCATATATTACTTCCAAAATAAAATAAATTACTGTATAGAAGTTTTAACAAGAATAAAACATAAGAATAAAGTGGCTTCTCTGCAGAAGACATGTCAGCAATGAACGGAAGGCTTAGACCCATTTCTACTAAGCAAGCTCTAGGAACCAGAAATGTAGATGAACTTGAAAATCTTCCCCCGATTCCCACTTCCACAGGCAGAAACAAAACCTCCTGCAGCTCCGGCGCTGTCAGAGTTGCTGTCCAGCATCCCCACTCACATGTCGTACAGCAGTCTCCCGGCGGTGGCAGTCCGCTCCGCGTTCCGCTCGATGGTGTACATCTCATACTGCAACACACACCAGGCCCCGCGGGTCACCAACCTCCGCCCGGGGCTGGTCCTGGCTCATCCCCAGCCTCGCTAGTTACTGCGCCTTCACTGAGGACTCTCCCCGTCGGAATGGAGGGCCTGAGAGTAAAGCATCACCTGGCCACACAGGGCCACCCTACGTGGCAGCCTTGCCACGGCGTAGGAGTGGGACCTCGGGCTGCCTTACGACCGCTCGGCTCCCAGGATTAAGTGGGATGACGGCTCAGGAGTAGCAGACGCTGAACAAATGGCAGCCACTAATGAACGAAGGAGCGCACAGCCTTTCCCTAGTGGCCACCAAGTGCTGTCCAGACCAGATGACACTCCCCCCCACCCCCACGGATCCAACCAGACCCGACTTCAACTGGGTCCGCCGCCTCTCTCGGTGCTGATGGAGACGGCTAGTGAAAGGTGCCGCAGGAGAGAAATGTCAACAGAGGGAGGAGGGCGGTCGGGCAGAGCCCCCCGCCCCAGCCGGGCAGCCCCGGCAGCCCCGGCGCTGGAGAAGCCCCACCTCCCCGCAGCGCGGCCCCGGCCTCACCTGGATGTTAAAGTCCGCCGGGTAGAGGCTGCGGGCCGTGATCAGCCAAGCCTTGGCCGCCCACAGGTCCTGGGGCACCAGCTCCCGGGCCCGCTGCACCAGGAACTCGCAGTCCCCCTGGGCCGACATGACCCGGGCGCCGCTGAACCCCAGCCGAACGCGGCCCGGACCTTCCGGCTCCGCAGACGTCGCCGCCGCCGCCGCGGGGACGCCACTGCGCATGCCCGGGAGCGCGGACGTAGCGCGCGGAGCGGGAAGGGCTTTCCGGGTTTTGCGAGCAGCCTCCTCCCGCCCGGCCGCGGCCGCCGCCGGCTCCCTTCCTCCTCCTGGTTTTGCTCCGACTCTTCCGGGTCACCTCCAAAATGTGGAGAAGTGGATTTCAGTGCCCGCGGGCTCCAGCGTCGCCCTGGTGGAGCCGGGAGCATGCGCTCTCCCCATCCTGTCCGCCACAAGCGGTCCTGGGCACTTGGGGCCCCTGCGCGTCCCCCGGGGCGGCCCCGGCTGGGAGGACGTCTGAGAGAAAGAGCGGAGGGCGGCCGGGCGGCGGCGGGAAGCGGCTCTGCCGGGGCGTCGGCGTGGAGACCCTCTCCGGCTGACACTATCGCGGGAAAGTGGACACCGTCGTGCAGAGCGTCGGGTCCGGCGCTTTTTGTCTTTCCTGAGCCCGTCCCGTTTTGCTGTCGCTCAGCCGTCGTTCTCTGGTGTCTCCCGCCAACGCGGACGGATGAGCGCTCCGTACCTGGAAAGCGCCTTTCCGGGGGTGACTCATCACTGAGCCAGCAAGGGTGCTACACAGAAAAGTAACTTCGCTTTCTTAATCATCTCCAACCAAAGTCAATGTCATTTTCACCAAACTCCACAGATATGATTCGGGAGCAGGAAAGCAAAGCGATCTCCCTGCTCCGCAGGGAGTCGGACGCAGGAGCAGAAAGCAGCGTGCATTACCCCCAAGAGTGAGCTCTGGAGGGTGCGTTAGGTTTTCAATCCAAGTTCTAGGACCAACATTTTATCACCGTCTGTTGCCACCGATATCTTCGATTTAAAATCAAGACATTAAGGATTCAAAGCTGACTTAAGTGTTTATTTAAAACTTACTATGTATGCACATAAAAACTACAAACATTTTAAATATATATGAATATGTGCACATTACTGTTACCGAGCAAGGGCTCGGTGTTCAGTTTGCATAGAAGCCAATACCATGGCAGCAGTTTTTGTGAGAAAAGGCTTCACCGCCAGGTGACCTGCAACGTTCTCGAATCTGTCTCCCCAACCAGGGCCTAGAGGCGTTTTTAAAGGATGTTAAAGATCAGGGACTGGGGATTGGCTGGCTCCTTTTCAAACCATGTGACTAGGCAGAGGATAATTGGCCAGGCCTAAGTTAGAACATGTGACTCAGGCAAGGGCTGATGGGTTGATAAGTCAAGAGCTGATTGGCTGGCCTAAGTCATACAGATGCAGACAGGGGCTCGTGGGTTTGAGCCAGTATCCAGTGTTCTGATGGAAAGTTTTCAGGTTCCTTTGGTTCTCGAGGTCATGTGGAGGCCAAGGTCCTTTTCTGCACATGCTCAGCTTACACCGTGCCAGATAACTTGTAAAACAACTTGAGAGATACTGATAGTTAACTCTGTATCCCTTAAATATGTATAACCAAAAATAAATAAATAAATAAATATGTAAAATAAAAAGTACTTGGACAAAAAAAAAAAAAAAGAGATAGGGAAATAAAACCAGTTTCAGCTACTTTTAGATGGTTTCATTACAATTTATGGTTATATACAAGTAAAAAGTACAATATATGCTTACTAATTAAATAATTCATAAATAAGTAATCTTAAAGTTTGTGGTGAATTAGTGAACTAGTTTTAGAGATAAGTACCAAAAAGGGCAGGCACAAAGGAATATCACATAAAGCACCAATCAAATCCTTTAATGTCCAAGCTCTTTTATTTTGCTTTTCTTTAAAGGTTATGATAATTTTTTAAAGCCCCTACTTTACCCCAGTTTTTAAAAATTTGTTATTGTTTCATTGGTATCCTCAATGATATCTTTGGCTAAGGTTCACTGCATTCATTTCGGTTATTCTGTTATTTACCAGTTGTGGTAATAGGACTCCATATTTCCAAAGGCACTGTTAAATATTCCCTGATTACACACAGGAACAGCGTAATTGTGTGATCACTTTGTAGGCCAGGATTACTCAATGATGGAATTCTTTTGGCTTTGTAGAATAGAAGAAGGTAGAAAATTGTATTTAAACAGAGATCAGGATAATTTTTATCATATAAAGTGTAGGTTATAAGAGCAGATTGCTAGCTTAATTTTTTTAAAAACTATTTCATTGATTTTAATATATGAAGTGGGTCAGGGTTTTGGGTCCCTATACTGGCCAGCTGCCAAAATATATATATATGTGTGTATGAAGTGTTATGTAAGAATATTCGAATGGCAAAAATGAGTGATAAAAAACTATTTCATTGATTTTAATATATGAAGTGGGTCAGGGTTTTGGGTCCCTATACTGGCCAGCTGCCAAAATATATATATATATGTGTGTATGAAGTGTTATGTAAGAATATTCGAATGGCAAAAATGAGTGATTTTGTAATTAAACTTTCTGGTTTTGGTTTTGAATACAAATGACGAAAACATCATGAATAATAAACCCTGCACACTTGTTCTTGAGTCTTTAGTTTCTATTGAATAACAATGGTAAATTAAAATTTTTAATTTATGGGTTAAATAAGGGAACTCCGGATGTATTTTAGATGCCAACCAGTTGAGATTGACTGACTTTTTTCCAGAATACATCATAAAACTTGTGGCAATTTTCTACTCAGCTTCTTAATTTTGAATGGTCTCCAGCTGAACATTTCTCCTAGAATGTCACGCTGGCATCTCAAGGTACAGAAGGGAGGTACCTTGCCAAGTGAGTTTATTTCTTTTGGCCTCCTTGCTGTGATCTTGAAGCTTCACTTGAGAATCTGGGCAATGAACCCATGTTCTTTTCCATGACAACTTCTAAGTCATGTAAAATGCCCAGCATCCAGCACCTGGGCTCAAGTACCTTGAATTCAGTTCAGTGATTTGTATTAAACTCCATATGGCTTTTTTCCCTTCCACTTCAAAATAATATATATATATATATATATATATATTTCCCCCCCCCCACTTCAAAATCTTCAAACTCAATTTTTGAACACATCCTCTTAACTTTCCTGCCTTCCACTCTCCTTGGTTCTTTTTAGTAATTTCATTCTCTTCTCCCTTATTTCACCTTCACAGATCTCTATTCCCTTGGCACCTACATTTCCGTCCAGTGTATCTACTTCCTCCTGGGCTAACTCCTTTCCTACTCGTGCTAAAACCTGTGCCCAATCCTCTTAACTTTCCTGCCTTCCACGCTCCTTGGTTCTTTTTAGTAATTTCATTCTCTTCTCCCTGATTTCACCTTCACAGATCTCTATTCCCTTGGCACCTACATTTCCCTCCAGTGTATCTACTTCCTCCTGGGCTAACTCCTTTCCTACTCGTGCTAAAACCTGTGCCCAGACATTTAGTATGTTTGATGTCCATCTTCTTATTCTACCAGTGTGTCCACTCTTCCAATTACCAACCCCTGATCGACCTTATGGATCATCTCCTTGGATGTCAAAACCAGTTTGAAAAAGGTGCTTCAATAAATACATGTTCCATGACTATCCAGGAGGCTGAGTTCTGTTGGAGAACAGCACACAAATGTGCACATTGATACTGAAACAAATTCCAGGTTTTACTGTCAATTTGGGCTCTCAACTACCCTACCTCCCATTCTTCCAATAACTGCTTCAAGCCTTTGTCATTTTTTTCAAGTGCACTTACTGTCTTCACTGTGAGCAGACGACTTTGTATTTTACTGAGAAGACTGAGGTCATCAAGCCCTAAACTCCTTCGGTTTTGAACACCCTGGTCCTATTTATCTTTCAAGACCATACATCTGATCATGTATGTATTCTTAGAACCCTTCGATGGTTTCCAGTTGTGCTGTTGTCTGGTGCGTAGGCAACCCTCTGCCTCATCATCAGCCACTGCCCCACACACGGAACTTCACTCGGTTCTTCAGTGGGGAATGTTCTGTGTCATTGCTGCACATTTATGTGCATGGTCACCGCTTCTCTACCTAGAACACTCCCACTGCCAGCCTCACAGGACCAATGCTTTGAGTTTCAGATAACGCTTCCTCAGGGAGACCTTCTCCAGCCCCAACACTCCTCTGTTCCCCCAGTCCTTATACTGTTTTATAACTGATGGTTGACCAGTAAGCTCCATTAGAACCAGCACCTTATCTATCTTTAGGCTGTTACTTCCCCAGCCCCAGGCATGCCAGCCATGTATAAATAGAAGGCTAGCATTAAAGTTTAGATGAATTTGGAATTTCTTGAAGCTTTGGTTACAAATTTGCATAAAAACTCCAGTTTTTCACGAATTTTATTCTCCCTAGTTTCAGAGGATAAAGGGTCCTTTTCATTCAAGGCCAAAATCCTTACCTAGGCTCAAAATCCCATACCCAGCCCGTCCTGCTCGGTCAAGCAGATTTTTTTGTGTGTGGTCACGTGGATTAAAAAATGAATGAATTTATTACAAGAATTTTAAAAATAAGTTTTAATATCAAAGGTACACTGATGCGAGACTAGAATTCCACGTTTTTTTTTTAAATGACAGGTTTTCCTTGGAGTGTTGATAAGAGACTATGAAATGTTTTCTTTACCCTTCAAGTGATCTGCGTAAGGGAAAAAAAGAGATTCTGTGTTTTATGAAGATAATTTCTTGTGCTTTTTACTGTGTTTTATTAGGTCTGTTGACTACTTAAGAAAATTGAGTCTTCTCAATGATAGAAGAGCTAAAGTGTTGTTGGTTTATTTTACAACTATGTAACTTTCTGTATTATTCTTTGATTGTTTTATCATAACCAGTGATCCTGTTTAATTGTTTTAAATCTCTTAATATTTTTGACAAACTTCCCACAATCAAATTCTAAATGAAGTCTTTTTGACCTCAAACTGACTTTGGAATTTTCCAGAGGGCTCTTGAAACATCTCAAAGGGTTTGTAAAAGAGAGATATTAAACTAATAAGGCTTATTTGATATGTTAAAGAATATGGGAAGCATTGTCAAGTAATGTGATGCTAATACCACTTTAAGTCATATT